TTGAGTTGAAAAGGAAGACTGTTAGGGGCTAGTTTGATTTGAATATGGAATGGCACTACTCAGGATAAGGAAGGAAGAGGGACATTAATTCCATATAAAAAATAGAGAAGGTGAACAATAACAGAAAACAGAGAAGTTGAGGTGGTAGAGGTTAAAGACACTTATTTTAGAAGCAAGGCAAGCGGAGAGGGCAATCTGCCACAAGAAGGGCTTCTCTCTGGCGACAGGGAAGCAACAGGTTCGTGCTCACAAATAAGCTGGTAGCTGGAGGTGGGAACCCCAGAGAAATTCTTGCTGCCCCTAGTCTCCATCCATCCATCCATCCATCGTGACAAGGTCTGTTCATATTGTCAGTGCAACTGTATTACCACAAATGACTCCTGGTTTGGAAGACTGCAACTGCTTTCCTTCACTGTCACCCAGCTCACAGCTGAGCTAACCTGTGCAGGAAGCTGGAAGGCAGCAGAGTCCATCTCTGTCCACCATGCTCATGCTGACAGACAAGCTCTTCTTCATCTCATCAGGGCTACAGTGGGACTGTAACCCTTGGCACTAGGATGAGATGCCTTTCTTCTGGACGAGCAACCAGTTGCCCACACCAAGGAATTTTAAAAAAGGGGTGACTTTACCCACAGATTTTATCTGTTATTCAGGTAGGCAGTTCCCTCTCTCCTATGCTGCTATGGGCAGTGTCTCAGCACTCCCACCCAGTCCCCTTCACCACCCCATCCCTCTGCATGTGCTATGGCAACAAGATGTACCACCAGCCTCAATCCATCATGCTCAGCCTAGCACCTTATGCATTCCAAAACAAAACAAAACAAAATTATCTTCATTCATAACTTTGACTCCTTCTCAGGGAATGTGAAGAGTTTTGTTTACCCATAGATCCCCTGGGCTATACCTATATAAGCTCCAGCCCCTAAAGGATCAAGCTGGAAAGTCAGAAGATACAGAACAGACAATAAGCAGACCTTCGAGTCAGCAAATTGCAGGTTGAATGATCGGCAAACAACCTCTCCTCATGAAAAATTATGCTACAGCAACACAATAGTATAGGAGCCAAAAGTATGTCTATTCCTGATTTGTAGACCAGGTTTTAGTTATGCTATAATCCTCTCAGTGTGCCTGCTTAGGATCCCGCAATCACACGAGTCATGAACACTACCCACAAATCCTGCAGCTTCCATGCCGAGCAAGCGACACACCAGATGAAGGATGGAAAATATACATGTGGAATTGTTCTGGGAACTTAAAGCACACATAACAGTAAACAAAGCAAATATGGTGCAAAACCTGTTACTATTTTCACAGCATTTGCAGAGCGAGGCTGCATAAATGCAGAAGGATGCACACAGCCTCACACCTTTCCCCCAAACCCAGCAAATTAAGCACAGCAGCACAAACAGCAGCAGTGAGAAGGAAACACTGTGCAGAAGAGCTGCTTTGTTTGCTGCTGTGTTACAGGTATATGTTTGTGTATGTGAGAGAGCTGAAGAATGAGCGTTTAAAATTACTTTTCCTTATGCCTCCTCCAGAGCCTTGGCTGTGCATGGGGACTGAACCAGGAGAGATTCCCTTGGTGCTGTGTTCCCTCTTCTAGATACAGTCTTAAGCCAGCTTAAAAAGGTTGCTGCTGTTGTTCCCTGTCCTACTTGGGGACGGCCTTCACAAAGTCAGTGCCAGTGTGGTCTGATAACTGGAAAGGTTGCCTCTGCTCTTCGATGAAAAGGCAGTGCTGGGGTTGGATACCAAAACACTTGCTGAACAAGAGGCACTACAGACAAATTTTGGCTGGTGGCAGGAGAGATGGCTGAAAGCCAGCTGACAGACTGGAGCAATATCAATCTCCATGCTGGGGGAATCCTCTAAAAATGCTACTGAAGCAAAGAGTAACCACTAGTGGCACAGTGGCAAACAAGACAAGAGTGATCTTGAAATCCCGGAAGAGAAAAAGGCAAACAGCTGAACTCATCAACATGAACTTGAACCATGGCACAGGGCAAACATGTGGCATGCCGTATGGAAACGCAGAACAAAACAGAAAGCTTGGAACAAAATGAAATTTAAAATCTGCTTTTATTTCAAATTACACCACTAAACATCTAACTGAAAATTGTGTTGAAGTTGAAATGACTTTGTGACATGTTGTTCCTTGAAGACTGCCATTTTCCATTTAAAAAAATGTATTAAAAATGTTTCAATCTGGTTACCTTCTATCCAGCAAGCCTAGAAAACATTAAATTATGAGCTAAAACATAACATCTGCTCAGCCAGCATTCATCATAACATTTTCAGGAATCCAAATACAAAACTCCTGGAAAGGAAGGACAGCGATCACTCCAGGAACAGATTTAAAACTTTAAATGGGTTTGATAAATCACTTTTTTTAAAGACAGGTTGCCATGTCGCCTCCTTTTGCCCACTGTTGCTAGATATAATCTGTCTGGGAACAGGTGATCAGACATCCATCTCTAAAACAGATGAGCCTTCTGTCTCTGTTCTCCTACAAACCAGAATGACCATCTCATAAGCCACACAGTCCTGGAGCCTAATGACGTTCTGTATTTCAGGGGGTCTTCTACTGAATGGCCTCACACTGAAGCATCCCAGAAAAAGTACCTATGCTGCCAAATCCAGGGCTTATTTGATTACAATTTTAAGAAAAAACTTCAGTTCTTCCTATATAATTTTCAATAAGCATCTGAATGAAATCAGATCATGAAGACATTAGATCAAGAGGACCTAAAATTAAGGATCCAGAGCATCTCTCCTATAAGTAAAGGCTGAGAGACCTGAGGCACATTCATTAAGTTCACTGGTGAGATCAGAGAACTAATTTCCCATGGCAAACTCTATGGGTCTATTGGTGAAAGACCAGAGTTGGAGCTGAAACACCCATCATCAGAGCAAAGGGCAGTGGAGAGTCTGTTTTATTTCTTGCTTTCTGTCCTCTAAGGAATACTGCAGGCACAGACACACCTCCTAGGTTATATAGTTTATTTGCCTGTCAGTGTGAGATTGGTCCCTACACTTTAACACTTGCTTTTGCCAAGTTAGATGCGATGCAATGCTCTTAAGGAAAATGAGTTTATTATGAGCCCACTCAGACACAATTTTGCAGTACCCAATGGATTACAGTGATGCATCATATAACAAGGGAGGTGCCAATTTCTTCAGGCAACATGCTAGTCCTACATAACAGGATCCCTCTGAGTGTTAGGCCCAAATATAAATCCTCTCGCCCCCTTGCTGCAGCATCAGTTGTCTGTCCTGCTCAAGGCACTGATCAGCCCTGGCATCTCTCAGGTGTGAGAAGCGCAACTGCGTTGCTGAGTGGTGGTAATGTGCAAGAAACAGCCCAAGCTGTGGAAGACTGAGAGGTAATTTTGTGAGCCTCATATTTAGATGCAGCTTTACAACCCCCTCCCCCCTCAGGTCATACAGCAGCCCAGCCTGTTCTCCAGGAATCCCGCTGAAGATCCCCAGTCTCTTTTGCCTTGCAGAGAACTTTCAAAAATTACTCCAGCCTGTGGTCACCTGAAGCTGTTCACAAAAGGCAAAAAAGCAACTCTGAAGAAGGTGGTTGGAAAAGAAGTAACCACGACACAAAACATGCAGAGAAAATGCCAGAAAGCTGATGCAATCATCCTCTCTCCAAACACTCAGCTACATGGGAAGACCTGTCTCAAAGATAAGCTGCAGGGCTCCTCCTTTTCACCAAACCCATTTGGATGAATTATATTTGTGGTGTCATCTTATGCAGGGTAACGGTTTCCTTGCAAGGTTTTCTATAAGAAACCGACAACACACTAAAGTGGAAAGTTCACCTATTTAAACATTTTTCCAGTATATCTGCTTCTCATCTGTAAAGCCACTCGGAAGCTTTCAGCCACGTTTCTCAGTATCTGAGAGAATGAAGCAAGGAAGCCAGCCACACAAAATACTCAAGATTAGGAAACAGAGCATTCCATAGCTATTTAAAACAAGTAAAATACAAAATAGTCCCTAACTTTCAACTTCAAATGGCAAAAAGAATATTAATACAGTTGTATTAAAATAATAAGGCAGCACCAAAAAAAGTATTAAGACATGATAAATATAAGATTGTTCACATACCCCTAATTCACCGTGAGAATGTACATTAGAAACGTTTTTTTCCCAAACACTTGCTATTTTTCTGCATATTTAATCACAGATGTGGGTGCTTAGCAACTGTAAAACAAAGTAATTTACTTAAATATCTGAGTATAGATTAAGGTACTTCATTCTATTTATGTGCTCCTAAAATGCTGTGTCTGCTTTATAATACTGTTGAACATCCAGAGAGACAGAATCCTCATATATGGATTCCTAAAATAAGTCACTTATATTTGTATTTAAGCAAAGAAATAGCAATTTGATTTTGCTCCATAGGTATCTGTATGAGCGTACACATATGCATGTATGTACTTTGTACACAAGTTACCCACAAATACAATGGGAAAGAACACAAAAAGATCTAGGAAAATGAACTATTAACATGTTAAAAAACTATTCCATTAGTTTGAGAATAAATGTAGTTACATGATATTAAGGTCTGTATCATTCAGTGTATCAAAAATTAAGAAGCAGGAAGAGTCTTTTGTTAGAAATGCCTATATTTTAGACTGGAAACAAACAGGAAAATCATGAAAGTTCCAACAGCTCAGAAACATCATGGAGCTGCTGCACTGCAGTATTTCACTAGTATTTTCAAACACAGAACATGGACTTCTTCAAGTTACTCAAAACACTGCCTTCATAAAGGGTTTGGCTGAATAAATTAGTCAAAAGCATATAAAAAAGGTATTTCCCTAGGTTATGCATAATTTTCTAGCACTCACAAGCAAAACAAAGTTTTTGAAGAGAAATAATGCATTTTGTTACTCTAACTGGTCTGGCTGAAAAAAAAACCAACAAAAAAACCAACAAAAAAATATAATTTTTTAAGCACGCAAACTTTACTTCATATCTCTTACCTATTTGCTTCCTGTATTGGTCAATAGGAGTCCTTGCTGTAAAGGCGTCTTTCCTACCCATCGTTTTCAATCCAAAAATCACTGTCAGTATTAGAAAAAAAATGTGCATTATTCCTAAATGAGTTAAGGAAATCAATTACTTACAACATCAGAAAAACCCATAACAACATTTACATTATTACATACAAAGACATAAGCCCAGTACAAAGAGATAGTGGAGTTAATCATAGCTATTTTGAAGAATATTAGATAAATTCTAAACATACCTTTTTCCCCATTGCATGGATTATTAACATTACAGAATGCCAGTTAGTTTGAGTGAAAAAAAAAAAAATCTAAACTGATTGCAGCGTAATTCACCATTTAGTACCACTGAATTACATTCCTTTTTTTTTTTTTTTTTCCTTTTGTAACCCAGGGACTGAATGTAGTATGGTAAACTGCTCGTACCATTGGCAAACACATTCCCACTATGCCCAGGAGTCTGAGGTCAGACTAAGCATGTGTGCATCCACGGGTATAATTGCTCAGTAATTGCCCCCAGTAGGGGCAGCCCTCCAGCCACCCTGAGCAAAAGAGACGAACAAGATACCTAAACCACAGCAACTTCACACTCTCCTACCTTCCTGGCATGGGCTTTAGAGATCTGCAAATTAAAAGAAAGTGGAGAATAAAGGTGAGAGCTGGGGCTGTGCCCATTTTATACCTCTCAGCTAAAGTATTTAAGAGTTTACCATTTGACTCCTCAATGGTCTTCTGATATTGCACAGCACAAGCAGGTGACACTAGTATCACAGAGAGAACTGCACTATCATTCATCAAGGATGCTCCTTTTGGTACTTTGGTGCTCCCACACCATCCATGTAACTGAGTAAGAATCACCTGAGTAGTATTTTAGCAAACTCCCAATATAGCCATTTAACATGTAAAACCTTATGGTCTCTTGCAGTGCTGCCATTCAAAAAATACAGTAAGATTCAACAAACACGCTAATTTTACCTCTTTTTAAATAGTCAAAAACACCTGGCTTTTATAGTCATCCTTGTTGCTCAAACCAAAATGGCTTTCAACCATTTTGGCTGGGCTGAAGTCACAACTTCACAACAATGAAAAGCCCCACCATTTGACCACCTGTGACACAAGAATCCCAACCTCTGCACTCATGAGAGGACTGACATTTCCCAGAAGTGCCAGATTTACCATGCAAGCACAGAAGACGCACAACAGCCAACACTTGCTATTTTTCCCAACTGGCCTTGGCAAACACAGTGCAAAGGCAAACTTCAGCTGAACTGTCCCAGGCAGCCACAAACTGCAGATTGTGAAAGTATGGCCTTGGAGTTTCTGCGAGTGTTTTCGTTTTCTGTTAGGCACAACCATCTGGGTTACAGCAAGATGAGCTTCCCTGGTCTCTGACAAGACACGCTGTCTGGGAAACAGCACTTGAAGGTACCATGATGCAAAACCATGGGCCAAATGCATGCAAAAGCACTGCTCAATGGGCTACCATCAGTATCACAACCCTATACACCCACTATTATTTCCTTCAAAGATTCGAAAGAGGTTTAAAGTATAGTTGCAGGAGTGATCCCAGTTGTTATTCATAAATTTCAAATGGACAAAGTTTCTTCTTTCGTGTTTATCCATTCTCCAAGAATTACTGACGTTTAATATCAAGTGACAGATCTTGAACCAGAAGATGGAATCAGGCTCCCTAAGTGTGGGATACATGGCATAAAATGAACTTTGATGCTCAAAAATCAGCAACCCTTTTTAAAGGTATTCAGGAATAATAAGGTATAAAAGACTGACATTATTTTTTAGTCCAAACTGAAAATTCAATTATAGAGTTCTAATGTTTCCATACATTACTTTGATTTAATTCAGAGAATCCTCCCATTTTACGTGAAACACATAAGCAGCGAGCTGTAAACCACTAGGGCTTTTTTCCTCTCTATTATGTTTCCCAGCTATTCTCTTGACTAAGTTGTATTTCTCACATAATGTTCACACCATAATAATGAGAGCGGAAAATAAAAGTACCATTTGAACTCTCAGCTAATTGACGAGATAACAGATAGATTTGATAACAGATAGATTTTACACCACAAAACTAGTTTTTGGGGTTTTTTTTTTGCCTGTGTTAGAGACTGTTTTGACTTTCCTTTTGCAATTTCAATAGCCTAACTAATGTTTTGTAACAAAGCATCAGCTGTGAAAAATGTTTGCAGTTTTAACAGCGCCAGAAAAACACATTAAGAAAATGCAGGCAAAAATTATTTCCTGACTTAATATGAGCCACAGAGATGCTCACATTTGCCCACATGGCTTGGTGTCACCACTCTAGCATCTAGAACCTCCACTCCTCTTTGTTCTTCAAAGGGATGCAGTAATCATCATTCATTTCCACCGCTTTGATGGTTAGATAGCAAATGCCCGAGAAACCCAGGGAGACATTAGCACATCCAGCCACAATGTCTAATAAGACAGCTATTTGCATAAAAGATCAGCCACAATTTAAAATATGTTGTGATAGATGTGGAAAGGGAATTACAGATCTATATTAGCATGTACAAAACCAAGATTGTTTTCACAATTTAATTCCTCAGGGAGTGTGGCTCATCACCTTCTCTTGTAAAGAATCTTGCATTCCCTGAGGAAGCAACTTGCCATGAGGCAGAGTTACACTAAAATACGGATTAATAAGACATAATATTTATTATTTATGAATCTTGCTGTAGAAATTGTTTCCGACATAACTTTCTGATCAGATTTCCATAAAGGAAAAGCCTGAAACCTCTATGAGTCCCAAAATTCTTTGCAAAGCACCATTTCCCATTTAAAATAGCATCCTACAATAGTTGATCATCTTAACTTTACTTTTACAAAAGATAGTTTAAAAAAAAAAACAAAGCAAGGGCCACTGGAGTGATTTTTTGCTTATTGCTAACAGTTACAGGCTCAAAGCCTGAACAGGTGAACACATGAAGATCTACACATGAGCTTGTGTACAAACTTTCTTAGTGGTGATTTTTGATACTATGTCTGCATTCTTCCACAATAAGCAGCCTAAATATGAATAGAGAGCACGTTAAATAAATCATAAATGAAGTTACTGGCTTGTTGCTAAAATATAGCTAGTCAGTTGAGAGAAAAGCAAACAAAACTTCAGGATAGAAATGAGCCACAACAGAATGTAATGTAATACTGGGCCAAGTCTTCAGCTGTAACTGAAAATGCAGGTGAATGCTCAGTGAATATTTGCGTACATGCAGAGGTACTTATCCTTAATTGCAAATGGAAAACGTAATTTAAAATTCCTTCTTTGCAATGTGGGTTGATAATTTGAAGTCATAACCGAAATATTTTTTTTTCACATGATTCAAAGCTTACTAAAGGCAGTGAAAGAACTGGTATTTTACCAGTCAGTTGTACAGCTCGTAGTTTAATAAATAATGGATATTAAAACGCAAGTTACAAGAGAGCAAATATAGCCTTTTATCCTCCTCGGGTAAAATCCTAGGAGTACCTCAGATCCTCTGTGAACATCAAGTTATTTCAAATAACTGATAGGTATTTTGGAAATCATTGCTGTTGCTTTTTTGGTGCATTGCTGAAGTAGAGTAACTAAGGTATGTCTATACAGTAGTGGAAGAAATGCAATGGAAGTAACTTGCAGCTAAAACTGCAATAATGCAGCTGAATACTTTAACCATACTTTAGCCAAGAGAAAGAATTTTAAACCCTCTATTACCACTACTTGAAGAAAACATACAAGAAAACAAACAAAAAAAACCCCACACAACTGAAAAATAATACCTTTATGATAAATCTTACAGTAGTCTTCATCATTCCTCTGGAAAGTCTCTCTCAAAGGATGAAAACACTATTTCAAAGGAAAGAGTAGCTGCCCATGGTGCTTCTTGCAGAATCTGGCTCACCTTTCTTTGAGGATTTATGTAATTTTATTTTATTAAATGCAACATTTGAGCTTATCTTTGCTTAATTTAACCTTGAAAACAACAGAGGTGATTGAAATTCAGTTAAATTTGGGAAATGAACCAAAAAAACAGGATACGTGCCTCCAGTTGGAATAAAAATTGCTAACATTGCTAACAACTTTCTACGCAAGGAAAACAAACACTGTACCATATCCCAAGATTAAAATCATATAGGAATTACAATTTTTATTCTTACATATATCAGGCTGCTTCTTAGCTTTGTGTAAGCAGTAGGAACAAAATACATATTGTTACTTCCAGTAAGAGCTCTTGCACTCTAGAGAAAGAAACTGCTCTGTTGTTTGTTACTCATACAGTGCTTATGGAAACCCATGAAATTAGCTCTAAATTTATGCAACAAAAGTAGTATACAGGTAATAGTGCACATGAATATTCAGCATATTCTCCAGGCTGTTTCAAAATCCTGAGGCAATATATCATGAAAAATAAATTTCATCAACAGCCCAGACTAGTTTCATGTAATTTCAGGAAGGTAAGTGAGACATTCAAGTTATGCAGAAGGCCACCTCTGTTCCCTTTACAGTGAAAAAGGAAAGAGATGCAATGGTAAGGAATCCAAATTGCCTCTGGCAATCCTGCCTTCTCTATTCTCCTAACCCTCCCCTAAGTACCTAAAATTTGGTGGGTTTATTTAGGCCCAAATATTTGCATTTATTCCTTTAGCAAAAAAGTCTACTTACTTTTGCCAAGTGCAAAATGTTGTTATATATCTGAAGAGTTGAAAAGTTTATCATTAAATGTATTCATGACAGCCAGGAAAAAAGTGAGCATTTCAAACCTGCAAATTGCAAATCTGGTTAGGATTTTTAAAAAAGACTTCACACTTAGCCAATTTGTTTTCTTAAGCAAAAAGAGGCCATTAAAAAAATGTAAGAGGTTCCTTCCATTGCCAGTAGAGTACAGTTTGTCACACCTTCTGTGGGAAGAAGAATCAAAATGAATTTGGCCAAAGCTCACTTATAAAAACATTAGTTATACAGAAGACACTTGTTTAGTAATTTTTGTCACACCTTTCATAAAAACAGTATGACATTTTGTAGAGGAATATTCCTATTT